TGGGTACACGTTGTGTCTAAAGCTAAAGATAAACCTTCTATTGTTTAAAAAAAACAAATTTTTTTAATGAAACAAGTATTGAATAATAGCACAGATTATATCAAGTTATCTTTAAAATTAGGTTTGTATGTGAAAATGGGTCATTTTATCTGGAAAATAATTCTTTTTGACTGTCGCCACATCCTGAATCTTATATTAAGCTTCAATATTATGACATTATTAAGACTAATTATATTTGTTTGTATACTGTAAGTTTGTATCTTTTTGTGTGTTTACCCTACTTAAATCATATACACAGCCAATTTAGGGCAGTCCTAAAGCAGGTTCGTGTCTACTCAGAATTTAGTGAAAAGACGCTATGCCGCAGGTTTATGTAAAGACACATTTTTGATAATATATACCATTCAGGTTTTGTTTCTGTGGTATCTTTGCTGGGTTAAAATGTTCTGATCAACTCTGTTACATAGCCATAACCATTATTAAAGCATGTATATTTATCTGATGATATATCTGATGTTTCAGATAAACCAATAGTAGATTAATTATTTATAACCCTGTTATTGTGACAATTCAGTGAATGATCTGTTTTAGTTTTGCCATGTGGTATCTGTTTCGAGGTTAGCATCTTGAGCTAAAATACAAAAATGGTGGAAAATGTCCGCTCTGCTATGGTTTACAAAGTTGAACAATACGTTAAACAACAATTAGTAAAATGTTCCCTCACATATTTAAAGGAGTGATCCACTACAATATCATATTTTAAACTTTAGTTGATGTGTAATGTAGCTGTGTGAACATAAGCAACATCTCTGAGTGTAATACGTTCAAAGTTTAATGCAAAGAGAGACATTGGCTTTTACAGTTAGCTCAGCAAAGCCTAAAGCAAACACAGTTTGGAGACTACAAAAAATACATCCAGGTTAATGAGATCATAAACACTTTAGGTTACACGCATACAACCCATACAGCGAAGGGGCGTGGCCAGAGGCATTGTGATGTTATAGCAGAGAAAGCTAGAATGTCGTCCAAACGCTTTTATTTTCACAGAGCTTCTTCTGGTTCTTTATTTGGGCTTCCAAAGCACATGAAGCAGAGAGAGAATTGCTTACAATTTAATTTAATTATTTTCCAGAGAATTATAAAAAAGATAAAGATCTAGCACTTGACAAAGGAGAACTTATAGAATATCTTCCAGATTAGTGCTGGATTCGGCTCCTCAAAGAAGGAGCAGCTCTAACTATAATAGCATAAGCTGTGGATTGTCACAACCTTTTATTTGTTTAAATTTATCTATTACATGCGGTTCATTTCTCTGTGGCAACCCCTGATTAATAAAGGGACTAAGCCGAAAATAAAATAAATGAATGAATATTCTATTGCATAAATAGTTTCCAGTGTTAAATGTGTAAAATGTGTAAAATGCTGTTTGGCACTGTTAATTTAGCTTCAACTTCATGTTTATCCATCAAATCGCTGTGAAGACCCACAATCTTTACCAGCACTGCAGTGTCTCTCTAATATCACAACGTCTTTTAAAGTTTTAACCATTGTTTTCTATGAGTGTGTATGAAGACTGGCAGCACCATTTGTTTAAGACATTAGCCAGTCATTACAACCAGACTGCCTGATGTTTATAGTACTATTTGTCAATTGCAGTGATAATAGTAATATACGCTCAGTTTATGCTTCGTCTGTGCACATTTCATCATTTAGTTTTCCTTTGTGTAATCAGAAAAGGTGTGTGGAAAGACAACCTCTCAAGTACAGTAGATGCAGAATGTGTACTCTCATTTCAGTTGGCTGTCATTCGTTTGGTGTGTTCACGCACTGCTTTTTGGTCCACATGAGCCAACAGCACAGTCGATATTCATTGGTGCTAGTTGTTTGGCCTCGTCTTGATGTGTCCCGGCCCTAAAAAACAAAAATAAGCCAGAATTTTAAACCCGACTCATTATGTTCAGAGTTCTGTGCTAGAAATATATGCAAATTTGTAATGTGTGAAGTCATTTCATTTTTCAAGAAAACTTGTAGTACAAAAAATTTAGTTCCTAAAGGGCACCTATTTTACTTTTTTTCAAGATTTAAGATAAGCCTTTTGTGTCTCCAGAATGTGTCTAATTCTTTTTCAACTCAAAACATCTATCAGATTATTTATTATACCTTTCAGAATATTGGAATTTTTTGTTTTGAACACTATGTGGTTTGTTGCCTGTGCCTTTAATACTAGTTCTCCCCGCTCACTGTTCCCACGTGCCTATCAGAGTATGCCTCAATCTCCATCTCGGCTGCATCAGATACACAGCAGAGTGACAGACATGAAGGAAGCAGATCTCACTTAAAATTTGTACTACAGTAAGAACTTTCCCAATGATTATTTGATGTATTTGTTGTGGAGTTAATTCAAGCCTTTCTGCAATGAGTCACACACAATGTCGTTACTAAGTTCACACACATACACACACACACACACACACACACACACACACACACACACACACACAGTGTGCGCGTTTAACTTTGCACTGTTTTTACACTGTAAATGTGCTGTATGGATATCTATTATGTTAATGTACAAAATAAACCTGATGTAATGTCCTCAAGCCGGAATTGAAGTATCTTCTTTTATAAATGTGCTGACATGCGGCTGTGGTGATAAAGACGGTAAAATCGCTGTAATTCATTACAAACATGGACTGTTTAAAAACATATTAAACGTTGTAAAACTCATTATTGATCACATTTGATGATTATAGATGATCGCAGAGAGCTGAACAGATTTTTTAATCCTGTTGATTTGCGCACGTCCTGTCTTGTTGATATGATTATATGCATTACTATGAAGACATGTTAACATGCGGCTTTCAATCAGTTCAGTGGAGGGGGAAACGTCAAGTTGCAGTGAGCCTTAAAATGGGAGAGATTTAGATCCTATTTTAAATCTCAGGAATTGCAAAAAAATTAGAGTTATTGTTTTTCTATCACTCCAATATGACAGTAGACACACTATACCTACACACAGTTCTGTCCAAACAGCTTATAAAAGATGATTTTCATCATAGGTGCCCTTTAATGTACTCATTCAAATAGAAGAAATATGGTGATGTCTCTTAAAAATATATTTTTACCATATTCACCTGCAGTGTCTCTCCTTAAGTATTCAAAGGCCATCTTTCTTTCTTGGTCTCTCTTGCTCTTTCTCTGAAGAATGTGATTGATGGGTCATATATGTCACACCTCACTCTCATTACCCAGAGTGCACTGGGTGCTGAGCCGTCGCCATGGCAACCTGTCTATTGGCCCGTGCACACCCACACGCTCTCCTAGCAAGTGCAAATGCATCTGCTAACACTCCTCGAATGTTAAAGGGACGTGTGTTAGGTAACAATGTCGAGGTGCTTTTTTTAACACATAGCTTATCTACTGTGGCGGCATCACACATCAGGATGTGTTACACCCTTTCTAGTGAATGGGAACTACAGTTGAAAAAACTATATTATAAATTACAGTGCATAATGAATTGTTTAATTTATTAATTAAACAGTACTGCAAAGTAAATGGACATCTCATTTTCATGTTAGATTAAAAATGATTTCATCTGTGAGAAAAGCATGCACTACTCTTTGTCTCGTTTCCCCTCTGTTTCTGTTGTTCTCTCCCCTGCTTTCTCTCGACCAATGATGTATAATTTAAGATGTGTGTCTCTACTTATTCATTCAGAGTGTGTAGACGTGCAAGTCTGACGAGATTCTTTGATGCATCAACAAATCTGTGGAGAGCAAAAGTGTCAAAATATCCATATGTTTTCTATGTCAACAATGTGCCTGTAAATATGGGTGGATCCCTCCTGATGACATTTATTCTTGTTCCTATATTTAGGACCATTTGTATTCATTTGAAGCCATATACACACTTATTCTTAAAAAAACATGACTGTATTACTAATAAATGCATATAAAATTAGAAGAAACAATCAAATATTGAAATGTTTAGAATTTACACTACTAAAAAAAAAAAAAAAAATCTACTTGGTGTTTCTATTTTGTTTGTAGTCCAAATATGTAAGCATTTTTAAATCAAGAAATTTCTAGACAAGTAAAACATGTTTTGTTTTCAGAAATAATAAGTCAAAATTAATATAGTTTTTTTCTTTAAAATAATCTCAAATTTTAAAATAATCTGCTAATGGGGTATGAAAATAATTATTATTTAAAACTGAAAACAAGGTTATTTTACTTTTCTCATTGACTTATTATTTAGCAGATTTTAATAAATAATTTGGCCGGTATATAGAGTTTGGGAGGTATATCGATATGATTCCCCAACGTGATGCGGGATTATGCAATATCGTTCATATCGATATGGTTTGAGGCCACATGTGCGCATTCTGCACGAAACAGATCACTCCAAGGTAGCACGCGAGCTCCACTTGCACAAATGTGCGCATGCGCAAATGAGTCATTCCCTCCCTGAGTCATACAAAAGATTTGTTAAAAATTAATTATTCGTTCAAGAACGACCCATCATTACATGACATGACATGGAGGAAAGACATGGAGGAACATGCAGTGCCGGTGTTGTATCGGAATCTGACTCCCTGGACAAATCTGACCCGTGTGCACGACGTCACACAGCGCCTGCAGCTGTAATAGCGGTTTATCAGACACCTTTTATCGATCATTTCTTCCGCAATTGACAACAAGAACGAACATAGAAGCCTTGTCAAATTGACAAGCAGCAACTGAATTTGTTCAAAAGAATTAAAAACGCCGAAATGGGACCACTTTATATCGCATTTTGAAAATGAAACCACCTCATATTCACTGATGAAAAGGTCAGTATTTATTACACGACGGTCTCATATTTATATTTACGTTAACACAATTAGCTCTGCAATCTGGTTTGTTATTGCATATTGACTTCAACTCTGATTATAATCTAATCATTGTATTTATTTATTTATTCTGTTTAATTGATTTATTTATTTTGGCCTCTTAACGGGAAGACGTGTTTTGATTTGTGTGTGTGCCTACAAATTGTGTGTAGTCTACAAATGGTTGGTGGTTTAAACAATTATCAAAACATAAAAAAAAGTAAAATAAAAAAACATTTGTTTTTTCTATTTTCATATCTCACTGTTAGCTACTCTTTCAATAAATAACAGTATGCGAATGATAATTACAATGATTGTTAATAACAGGGAGGGAAACCCCTGTGTTTGAATTACATTTGGCTCAAAAACTGTTTAATAAAGTTTAATAAAGGCTTTATCTCTCAAGTAACCATTTATGGGAAAATACCGGATATATATCGTATACCGTCATTCCTTCTAAAAATACAGAGATACACTGTAAAAAATCCAACTTGCAAATTGCTAACTCAAATCAAAATTGTAAGTTGGGTGGACATATTTTGAGCCCAGTGTTGAGTTTACTTTTAAAAATGAGTTAACTGAAGGTTTAAAACTGGTTTGTTCAATGAAGTTGAGCAGACTTTACATTTTGAGTTCTTCACTGGATCATCTACTTCCCGTCTTTGCACATGCTCAGTCTGTCTTCGGGTGCCATTTTGCACGAGGTGTCCTCTCACCAGCAGCAGCTGCCATCTCCTGATTCAGGTAAGCTTTGTTTTAGCTTTATTATCAAAATTAATCTAAATAGCGTGCAAATCTAAAGTAAAATGTAATGTTGTGTTCCCAAAAAACTAAGTTACATCGTGTGAAGATCATTTCTGACAAGCTCGGGCTAACAAGCTAGCCACCTGTGAAGTTTGCTTCATTTGAAGGACTGTTTAACGTTAATTTGCTTCTTAAACTGGAGGGAAATGTAGTGAAATATTGTTGTTGCAAACAGACATATCTGAGCGGCCGGTCACCACTGTATTGTTAACCCTGTTGTGTCTGTATTAAAACAGCAATGCGATAACATTAAAACCACTTCAAAATAATATTTAGCATACCACTTTAAATATACAGTCACTAGTAGTGTACATATAGTATTCCAGGAGCTTGTGGTTTTTATGATTATTTATTTGGCATACATTAACCATTTATGAGTTAAGTAACATGTATGTATGTATTATTTAAATCTTCTCTTTTTATGTTTGCAATATTTATTTTATATTGTGCTTTTTAAAAACATCAGTTTAATTTATGAAAACAATTTGACCTGCAATGTTACATTTTTATTTACTTTTTTATAGGTTTGGAATGCAGTGTAAGTTTTGCAAATTTGTAAACAGTAGCTGAGAAGTTACACTACAGACTACATCGCTATCAAGGACCATCCTGGCAGCAGCCTTGTTTGTTCGCAGACTGCTTCTGCACTTTAAAGACTGTAGGTGCATTAAAATCACATTTGACATTAGCACATTAACAGTCTGCTGCAGTTACTGACTATTTGATTTTTTTAACCTCCTGTAGCTGATGTCCGAAAACAGTGGCCTGCATGTTTTTGGGAGTTTAGGCAAGTTTGCATTTGAGATTATTTATTTCAAAATGTATAACCATTGTTCACAATTCATACTATTCATTTTTTTATGGTCTGTTTGTAGGTCTATGCTGAGTTTTACAGGATTACTCAAACCAACCTCAAAGATATCTTCTCTTTTTCGGATGAATACGCTATCAAGTTTTATGGATCATGGGGTGGGCGATATGGAGAGATAATAAGAACCGCCCTGGACCAACTGGACAATCAAGTAATTATTTAGCATTCAATCATATCACTGATTAAAGGGGGGCATATTAAACTTTATGGAGTTTACCATGGAGTTTCTCTTTTTGTGTGCAATATTGGAATTCATGCAGGTAATTAATCTTTGAAGTTACAAAACAGTTTGTTCCCTAAAAGAAAAGTTTGTAGCACTGTTTTCACCTCTGTAAAGGATGCTACATTTTCATCACTTAGTCTTTAGTAGAACAACCATGACTGAGTCCGGCTGACCAGGGAGTGAAAACAGGTGCTGCAACAATAATTATAAAGCAAATTTCATTTTTAATAATTAAAACATGTTGGGAATTTCTGATCAAAATGACTAACCTGTGAATAACCATAATTAATGCCCTTCAATTGTAAAGTGGTGCCACCTGTCATCTCTCAGGGTCTGAGCATCTGGTTTAATGTGACAATAGCTGATGACCTATGGCAAGCCGTTTTAACTTTTATTCTATAGCCCGTACTAGTATCTATTTTCTTGTTACTAGTACTTATCCATTTTCTTAGTTCTTTTCCATTAAGTACTAACTAGTACTTATTTATTAGTTACTAGTACTTATTTATTAGATACTAGTACTTATTTATTAGTTACTAGTACTTATTTATTAGATACTAGTACTTATTTATTAGATACTAGTACTTATTTATTAGATACTAGTACTTATTAAATATATACTAGTACTTATTTATTAGATACTAGTTCTTATTTATTAGTTACTAGTACTTATTTATTAGTTACTAGTACTTATTTATTAGATACTAGTACTTATTTATTAGTTACTAGTACTTATTAAATAGATACTAGTACTTATTTATTAGATACTAGTACTTATTAAATAGATACTAGTACTTATTTAATAGTTACTAGTACTTATTTATTAGTTACTAGTACTTATTTATTAGATACCAGTACTTATTTATTAGATACTAGTACTTATTTATTAGATACTAATACTTATTAAATAGATACTAGTTCTTATTTATTAGTTACTAGTACTTATTTTAATAGTGACTAGTAACTATTCTGTTGTTACTCGTAATGAATTAAAAATTTTCCCATTCATTTATTTCTATGGGATCTCTAATTGAGATATCAACTATTCAGTTTTGACTAGTATGTATTCCAGCTGTGACTAGTGCATATTTTTATCTACTAGTAGTTAATCATTAGGTACTAGTACCTATTACTGAGATGCTACTACCTAAATAATAGATACTAGTACTTATGTATTAGATACTAGTCCTTATTCATTAGGTACTAGTATCTATTTAATAGATACTAGTACTTATTTATTAGATACTAGTACTTATTAAATAGCTTACTAATGTTTATTCATGTAGAGTCGATGCTTAACGGATAATCAATTCACTATTTGCTAATGCTTAATAAATGATTCATTATTATAAAAGTGTTACCTGAAATGTTTTATAAATAGAAGGTATATAAATGACTGTGTTACTGACATTACTACCTTCAGTTTCCAAATTAAGTTGCTTTGCCTTTGCTTTTTTTTACCTTGCTTTTTGGAGATGTTTGTGATTTAGCAGTAAAAATAGTTTTTCATCCTCTTTTTATGTTTCTTTTTTACTGCAGGACACAGAGCCAGAAGATATTTGCACAATAGAGATGGAGATTGACATCCTTAGCACTGTTGAAAATGATGTTGCCACTCTTCAGACCAACCTAAATGTAAGGTGCCTGTCTGTGGTTCTGGAAGAGCAAATAGTGCTGGAAAAGATTTTCCGACAGCTGTTGTTCTCCTCTTTGGTTTGATTAATTTCCTCATTATGAACTACCCCAAAGAACTGAAACACATCTTTGAAACTATTCAGAAAGTGTTTATTGGCCTTGAATGCATTTGTTTGTACACTGAAATTGTGTTACTCTTGGTGTTGTCACCAAACTTAAATTCAGTTTTGATTTTACATTTTCAAATTTTAAAAACATCCATTTCCCACCAATTGATAGATTGGCTGTTGTGTTCAAGCGCTCAACATAAATGACTGTGATTGGCTGAGAAGTTCACCATTTCACTGCTCTTCACTGATGTTCATGGAGTGCAAACACAGATACACACACACACACACACACACACACACACACACACACACACACACACACACACACACACACACACACACACACACACACACACACACACACACACAGCGTACCACTTGTGTCAGCTTATACACAGACCAGTTGATCAATGTGAAATTCTTAAGTGTCCCTGTATCTGTGGTTACACTCAGTAAACAGCAGTGAGTTTGGTGAACTGATGATCTTCACGCCCAATCAGTCTTTTCTGTTGAGCATGTGAACACAATGGCAATATAACAGTGTTTAAAACAGTGTCAACAACGCTCAAATGTTAGCAGGAAATGGACGTTTTTAAAATTTTAGAACTGATGGGTAACAAAATTAAAATATCATGACAAAACTAATTACTCTTGCACTTTGAAAAAAATTTTGATAGTGCAAGCATTTTAAATATTACTTTTGCTTAACTCGAGCACTTAAAAGGCAATATAGGATTTGAGGATTTACCTTTTTGTTGCCTCTTTTCCTTCTCTGGACTGCAGTACATTTCATTTGGACAGAAAACTGTTTGCAGAATTGTCAATAAATATATTCTTTGATATTGTGTTTTATAGTGTGTTTTGTAATCTCTTAACTTCATACTTAGAGTCATACAGGTATTTGTTTGAGAAGCGCAGATATAAGATTTCCATAAAATTATGAATTAAAAGATAAAGATTAAATCAACTTAAAAAATTAAGGCAACCAGCTGCACAGCTTTGAGTTAACTGAACTTCTGTTAAGTTGTGCCAACTCATTTATTACAGTTTACTCAACCCCTGTTTAATTTTAGGCAAACTCATAATGACAAGTTAGATGAACTTAGGCTTGAAAGTTGTCATGACTTAAACCAGCCATTTCAGTCAACTTAAAAAAATAATTTGGCACAACTTCAACCACTGAAGTTGAGTAAACTAAAAATTTCTTTGCAGCCGGTTGCTTTAAAATTTTAAGTTTACTCAACTTTTTATTTTTTACAGTGTATGATTTATTGCCCATATCGCCCAGTCTTAATTTTGATGAATTATTTCAAAGTCATTCGGTTTTTTCTAGAAAATTCAGCTTGATTTAAAGTGCTTCTATGATGAAAACCATCTTTTGTAAGCTTTTTGGACTGTGTGTAGGTATGGTGTGTCCTGTTGGAGTGATATAAAGACAAAAATGTCTTCTTTTAAATTTCCTGATGTTAAAATAGGATGCAAATCACTCCTATTTTGAGGCCCACTGCAACTTAATGTAGGAGTGCTGTTTCCCTGCCTACCAAATTGATCGATATATGCGTATTAACATGTCTCTGTAGTAACGCGCATAATCATATCAACAAGAAAGGACGTACACAAAACTAACTTGGATTAAAAGCTCTCGGTGAATATCAATCATCATTAAATATGATCAAGAATGAGTTTCACAAGTTTAAAACGTTTTTAAAACAGTGCATGTTTGTAATGAATTACAGCAATTTTACCGTCTTTACTTAATCACAGCCGCATGTCAGTACAATTATAAACGAAGATGTTTAAATCCTGGTTTGTGGACATTAAATTAGGTTTCTTTTGTACATCAACATAACGAAAATCCATACAGCAGCGTATATTAACATGTATCCTGTCAAAGTTTAACGTGCATGCAGTGTGTGTGTTTGTCCTGTGTATGTGTGTGTGTGTGTGTATGGGTAAACTTTGTAACGTCATTGTGTGTGACTCATCGAAAGGCTTGATTTAACCTCACTACAAATACATTAAACAATAATTGGCAACGTTCTTACTGTAGTATTTCTCTCAAACGTTACGTGAGATATGCATCCTTCATGTCTGTCACTGTGCTGTTTATCTAACGGAGACGGAGATGGAGACAAACTGACAGGCACGTGGGAATGGTGGGCGGGGAGAACTAGCATCAAAGGCACAGGCAACAAAAACAGCTACAATGTGTTCAGAGCAGTACATTTCCATATTCTGAAAGGTATAATAAAATATCTGATTGGTGTTTGAGCTGAAACTTTACAGACACATTCTGGAGACACAAAAGACTTATCTTAAATCTTGAAAAAGGGGTAAAATAGGTGCCCTTTAAGAATTTATTAATATTCAGACTAGAAACAAGACAAAAACTCAAGACTATTTTTGCAGTGTATTATTTTCTTAAAGTTTGTATATTTTGACAGAGATATTAATAGTTTTATGAGATTCTCACAAACTACAGCTCATATGTAATTTATATTCATGTTAGAAATCAAACTATGTGCCTAGAAAAAAAAAAAGCCTTGACGCTTTATTTTCCCCTCTTTCTTCCTTTGAGATCTCCTCTTTCTCCTTTAGTCTGACCGTCGGCTCTTTTATCGCTGATGTTGTTGTTTTTCTGGGGTCCCCTGCACTGGGATCCTGTCAGCATGGCTGAGCGCTTTTAACTTGTCCCACGGGTGTCATTGTCCTCCCCTTTCTCATCTATCACTCGTTCCACTCACTCACATGAACCAATCACACAACCCATAAAAGGAGCCCCTCCTCACCCCAACCTTCACCCCAGACCTGATGCAACAGCCCTGGGGTGTGACTGTGTGTGACTGTTGGGATATAGAGGAGTGTTTATGTATGTGGGGAGTCTACTATTTACTGTTTTAAAAGAGTGAGGAGGGCTAAAACATCCATTAAACGACATAATAATCAGCAAAATAACAAAAGGAAAGAGTGTTTTGCAGAAGGGGTCATTAGTAGGCTTACACCACCATTGCTTGTGCATATACTGTATGTATGTTTGGGATTTGAACCCAGGAGATCTTGGGTGGGAGCTATTTGAATTCAGTCTGTTAGAATCCCTGTTGATCTCAATTGAAGATTCTCTTGGTGTAGTAATCAAGCTGGCACAGGACGTCAACATGACATCAGATTGACGTTGTACCCCAACATCATGGAACGTTGCATTTTGTTTCAAAATTAAAATCGGGCTGACTTCAAAACCCAACGTCAGGCCAACGTCATTGTCAAACGTCGAACAAACGTTGCATTTTGGTCACTTTCCGATGCAACCTAAAAATAACAAAATATCTACGTCTAATGATGTTACAGCTTGACGTTGTGTGGACGTTATTAATATGACGTCTATCAGATGTTGGATTTTGGTTGCTATATTGATAAATAAATGTTTTTGAAGCCAATATGATGTTGGTTTAAGATGTTGGCTCGACGTTGGATATTGGTCACCTTCCAACACAACCTAAAATCAACAAAATATTAACGTCATTTCACGTTGTTATTGGACGTCAAAATAACATTGTCCTTAGACTCTGGTGACCTAAATCTAACCTAATATTAATGTCTTATGACATTGAGTGCCTGCTGGGAACTGTCAGAAGCACATAAAAAAAATAGTTGCTCAATTCTGGTCAACAGCTTAACATTGACGAAGAAAGGTGAATAAAAACAATATTTACAAATTTTGAACATTTCAGAAATTCAGGCAGGTAGGGTTGTAGTGTGTGGTAAGTGGTAGAATAGACGTTCTAGTTTAATTAAAACCGATTCAGTCCAGTTTATTATAAACCTCACCGTTGAAGTTCAGTTTAATTCAGATCAGTTTATTGCAAATGTCACTCTTAAAGGAACATCCACTGAAGACCAACTCCACCAATGCACAGTGCACCTTCATTAGCTGAAACCAAAAAAAGTGAAGAACAAACCTTGAGAGAAACAAGGTTCAGCCAGGGCAACCTGTTCTCCTCTGGCCAAATGTCTTGCAGTCGGACATCACAGGCTTGAGAATGATGAGCATTCTTTATAGAGAAGGACATTGGATGCCCGAGAACGATGAGCTTTCTTCATGCAGAAGGACATTGGAGGCCTGAGAATGATGAGTGTTTATTTTGGAGAAGGACATTGGAGGCTTGAGAACAATGAGTGTTCTTTGTAGAGAAGGACATTGGAGGCCTGAGAATGATGAGCAATCTTCATGGAGAAGGACATTGGAGGCCTGAGAACGATTAGCGTTCTTTTTGAAGAAGGACGTTGGAGGCTTGAGAACGATGAGTGTTTATTGTGGAGAAGGACATTGAAAGCCTGAGAACGATGAGCGTTCTTTATGCAGAAGGACATTGGAGGCTTGAAAATTATGACTGTTTTTCGTGGAAAAGGATATTGGAGGTCTGAGAACGATAAGCGTTCTCCATGGAAAAGGACATTGGAGGCTTGAGAACAATGAGCGTTCTTTGTGGAGAAGGTGCAGGTCCAAGTAGGTCACCAGGCATGTGCTCAGACCGGATCAATGCAGAGACTCATCTTTAACTCGGTTTTTTGCAGGGATCAATCTTTAAAAAGAAAAAGATAGCAACTACATAAATACTTAAAGCTACCCAGAACACTGTAATTATTTTAAAGATTCCTAGATACAATCGGTTTGAACACCCTAGCAAATTTATAGCTGTGATATTGATGGATTAGTGGTTGTGTGATTATGGTTCTACATTCTGATGTGATTTCCTACTATATGTATCAATTTAAAAAGCCACTGTGGTTTCAGTAGTCAGACTACTGTCATTTTGTTTGGGTTAACAAATTTACAAGCACATTGAGGTTAAACACAATTAGCGTGTGAGGAGAGACAGAGGGATTCCTGGAATCCTGTCTGAAGCAGCAGATGGTTTTAAAATGTGGTCTGGGCCACACGTCCCTCATGTGTACCCACATGCAGAAATGGTGGAATTAAAAATGAAAGGTCTAGACTGCTTCAAAGTCTGCATGACTGCTTTTTAAACCAGGATTGTTTGGTTTCTAGGGCAAGCCACATGCTAGCGTAAATGTGTGTGATAGAATGCCCCAGTGACTGAATGCATTAAGAGTACTTTATGTTGTGAGCTTGAACTTTTGTTCCAAGTCAAATGGAAGCTAGTTATTGTGAGCTCTGATCCTAAATGTTGTGGACTTCATGCTCTTTATTAGCATGCCTGTCTCCTATTTAAGAGAGGCTGGTTTGAATCCCTCTTTAAGCAGGGTGAGTGGAACTTTTACATTACTGGGTGGGTTTATGATTGGGGTAGGGGTAGACGTTGAGTGGCACGGTGGCTAAGTGGTTAGCACTGTCGCCTCACAGCAAGAAGGTCACTGGTTCGAGCCCTGGCTAGGTCAGTGGGTGTTACTGTGTGGAGTTTGCATGTTCTCCCCGTGTTTGTGCAGGTTTCCTCCAGGGGCTACGGTTTCCTCACACAAGTCCAAAGACATGGGGTATAGGTGAATTGGGTAAGCTAAATTGTCCATAGTGTATGTGTGTGAATGAGTGTGTATGGATGTTTCCCAATGATGGGTTGCAGCTAGAAGGGCATACGCTGCGTGGAACATATGCTGAATAAGTTGGCGGTTTATTCTGCTGTGGCGACCCCAGACTAAGCTGAAAAGAAAATAAATGATTGAATGAGCTGCTATTGATCACATATTAATTGGTCAAACTGTTTATTTATGCTTTTAATTGCTCGCTTTTCTGACACATGTAACCGGTGCACTGCAAACTGAGAGAATACATATCATTTTCTTCTCAATTTCAGAAACCATACTCTTTTCTCATTGATTTGAACTTTTACATAGCATTCTTGACAAATAGGTGCATTTGTCACTTAGTGTTGCTACTTTGACTACAAAACAAAGTTTTTAAACTTAATGCACCCAAGCAGCAGTATCCAGCTGTTTTGAATCTTCTTCTGCATTAGCTTTACCTAGCAAAAGCTGTCAATCTGATAATGCAAATGTAAGTTCAGAACCATGAACCACACTGTCCGACAGGCCAGGGGAAGGAGTCAACCGAACATGGGTGCGAGCCAGGCAATTGAACCCAATGTTGAGATCACCTTCATCTACTTGTCGAGTAGAGATTTAGTCTTGTATCCATGCTTGTGTTTTTTTTTCTCTTGCAGTTCAGGTATGTGTACGTGCAAGATGGGTGTCTATGGGCCCAAGTGTGATGACTGCCACCCTGGATTCTTTCACTTCAGCAGCACAGGATGCCAACCGTGCCAATGCAACAACCACTCTACCTACTGCCATCCTCAGTCAGGTCAGTCCAGTCCACCTTTATCATCATTTAAATCTCTTGAACCCCCTATTTTGGCATGGAAATCTTGATAGTAGAGGCAGAAGGAATAGTCAACAGTGGCTACTGATCTAGTCAGTGTCAAGTACAATTATGATGTTTATCAATGTTGGACACTCTGCAGAAACTCTCACTAAATGAAAATAAACACTCACTTAAAGCCATGTGATAATATTTGATAACATATGATCTTATAGTTTAAAGCAGGGGTGTCCAAACTCGGTCCTGGAGGGCCGGTGTCATACATATTTCAGTTCCAACCCCAATTAAACACACCTGAACCAGCAAATCAAGCTCTTTCTAGGTATACTAGAAACTTCCAGGCAGGTGTGTTGAAGCAAGTTAAAGCTAAGCTATGCAGGACACTGGCCCTCCAGGACCGAGCTTGGACATCCCTGGTTTTAAGCAAGGGTCACCAAACTTGGGAAAACACCAAACTCCAACAAAAATCAAACACACCTGAACAAGCTAATCAGGGTCTTAGGGTATACTAGGTATACTTGAAACACCAGGGCAGGTTTGTTGAAGCAAGTTGGAGCTAAACCCTGCAGGACCAAGATTGGTGATCCCTGGTTTAAAGCATTTGTCATAGTAAAAAAAAATCATAAGTTAGAAAAGGGAATGGTCACAGTGGAAAGAAGGAAAGCTGAAATTTAATCAGTTGCTTTTACAATTAAAATGAATAGATATTTATATTGTATTTACTGTATATTTACAGGGTTCTGTCACTTCTGTCTGGTTTATTCTTGGATTGGTGACAGAGCCCTGACTTTCCTTTCGTCTTGTCTTTCGCTCAAATTTTGCCATCTTTTGTCTTTGTCTTTTTGCAATAAGCATGAGCTTGCGCAGTTGACTATTGTTTGTACATGTGATTTATGCATGGCGGTGTGTTTGCATGATGGCATTCAATATTAATCCTCCTCTCTATTTGTGAAAGTGTACATCAAGTCTTTTTTTTTTTCAATGTACAAAGAGTTTTGTATTGTATTGTAGAATTGTATTGTATTGTAGTTAGCAAATATTCCCTTAGTTATTACCAAAGCTCTCTCTATTAAATTGTACATGATTAAATCATTACGCGGCCTTAGAAGTCTGAAATTAGTTTTATGAGGTGACTTTATGCAGAAATGCTGCCTGAAGAGTCAATGTCTGATACGGCAGCGAAGCAACAAGTCAGCTCCCTAAGCTTTCGGACACAGGCATAGATCAGCCTTAACTTCTTTCTGAAAGACCAATGTGGCCTAGTATGCATGAACAGAAAGATTGTTTCTAATTACTTACTTAATTACTTTTGCACGCTGAAGGGCAATGACGTTATGCAGTTCAAAACGACAATCTGAAGGAGGACACCACGGCTGAAGTAGGGCTGGGCGGTATATCGGGTTCTGGGGATATATCGATATGATTCTCTAACGCGATGCTGTATTATCCAATATCAGTCATATCAATATGGTTTGAGGCCACACGTGTGCATTCTGCGCGAAATAAACCACTCCAAGGTAGCACGCGAGCTCCACTTGCTCAAATGTGCGCATGCACAAATCAATCATTCACTCAATGAGTCATACAGAACATTTGTTTGTTCCACAGACAAATCTGACTCCCCCAATATCAATAAACACTGCTAAAAACAGCATCAGCAATTTCACTTATAATTTTTCTGTTTGACTTTATTACTGTCAGATGTCTAACAAAGTTCTTAGTCCCAATTATTGAGGCGTTTTTAAAGTTTGAAATTTTTTTTTTCAATAAAACAATTAAAGCATTTCATTCTTAATAAATGTGATGGGGGACATTTGAAGACATCTGACAGTAATAAAGTCAAGCAGGTTAGTAGTGAGTGAGGCTATTAATGCTGCTGACTTGTTTATTGATCCTCTGCTGAGATTTTGAGAGATTTAATGATTTAGTTAAGTTTAGTTCCAAAAAGGACGTCATAAAAACTTTCATTCTGCACCCTTAGGGGATGTCATTTCAACGTCTAAATGTCCAAAAAAAATATCTAAAAGATGTCATTTTAACACATTTGTGTTTCGTGGGCTGGTTCTTTTTGTGCCAAAGGACAAATGGTGTATACAGAATTCTGAAAAGATAACAGGAGGGTTAACTGGCATCATAACTGTTTAGTTGACCCTTTGTCCAAAGTCAAATTTTGGTGAGTGAGGTGTCTGGAACAAGGCAACACGGTGGCTCAGTGGTGAGCACTGTCGCCTCACAGAAAGAAGGTCACTGCTTTGAGCCTTGGCTGGGTCAGTTGGCGTTTTTGTGTGGAGTTTGCATGTTCTCCCCATGTTCACATTGGTTTCCTTCGGGTGCTCCGGTTTCCCCCACAGTCCAAAGACATGTGGTGTAGGCGAATTGAATACAAGTATGTGTGAATGAGTGTGTATCCCAGTACTGGGTTGCAACTGGAAGGGCATCATCTAGGACTAGGTAAAACAAATGCTGGATAAGTTGGCAGTTTATTCCGCTGTGGCGACCCCTAATTAATAAAGGGACTAAGCCAAAGAAAAATGAATGAATGAATGAATGTGTCTCGAAAATAATTTAACCTAAATGTCTAGAGTGGAAGTTAAGATGATATCTATACAGATTTGAGATCGAGTCACTTCAGCGATTCATCACAGCATCCTCCACACTTCTCTCTCTTTCTTTCTCACAGTATCCTAGGCAACCTGGGCTTAATTAACCTCAATTTTGAATCAGGACCAAAAAAAAAACCCTTCCAACACAATGCTCTTGCTGGTTCATGTGCATATGTGTGTGCGTGTCTGTGTGTTAATTTGTTAAGCAAACCTGCTGACATATGAGAAGTGAAGGCGTGTTTGTCTTAAATCATTTCGCTGGGGCCTCAGTCTACTGATGTCATAGGCGTGTTTGTCAACTGCTTGTTGAAATGCATGTGTTCGCATGTCTCTAGGAACCCATCTGTCTTCTCTCTTTCTCCTCTCTCCACTGTGTATGCGCGGCACGTGTGTGTGTGTGTGTTTGTGTGTGCAGATGGTAGCTGGTAACCTCTCCCCGATGCAGAGAGCCACAGTCAGATTTACAGCCCTTCTCAGTCATAAAACCCAATCAGCATCTCCGGAGACTGCTTACAGTTCATAGACTCACAGCCACCCTGCAGCATAATACCACACACACATAGACACATGCAGACGCGCAGCCATAACTCATGATGCCTGAAGAATAGTGTGCTTATTACACAAAGGCTTTTGGTCTTTCGCCAGTCAGTTTGCTATTTGTTACTGTTCATGAAAGCCTGAGATGTGCTAAAGCTGAGGCCGAAAAAAAAAAAAAAAAATTTGTGTAATTAAAACAACCATTGAAGTTTAAAAAAGGGAATTTGTTTATAAAAAGTGAACATGATTATTCCATAGAAGAAATCTCTGATGAATAAGAAAAATCTTATGACACAACATTTAATATTCGAATGATCATTTATTTTAAAATTTATTAATAAAAAGGGTTATTTACATTTACATTTAGTCATTTAGCAGACGCTTATTTGTATCATTTTAGTATTATTTTGTATTACTGTACATTTTGAGAAATTGACATTTCTATTTTTTATATTGGTTTAATCCCTTTATTCATCAGGGCTCACCACAGTGGAATGAACCGCCAACTTCACTGTCATATCCAGCATATGTTTTACTCAGCGGATGCCTTTCCAGCTGCAACTCAGTACTGGAAATCTTCCATAAACACTGATGTAATTTAGCTTAACCAAGTCACCTATAGCGCATGTATTTGGACTTGTGGGGGAAACCGGAGCACCCTGAGGAAACCCACGCCAACACGGGGAGAACATGCAAACTCCACACAGAAATACCTCCTGTCCCAGTCGGGGCTTAAACCAGTGACCTTCTTGCTGTGTGGTGACAGTGCTAATCACTGAGCCACAGTGCCACCCAACGTCTTCCCCTATAAAACAGTAATTATACAGAGTATTTTTCATAATATTTATTAAACTATCCATTAAATTGTATTTTATTCACATGCATCCCTACCCCCACCCTCATAGTACTGTAGAAATATTAATTGTTGTACAGTGGCACATACATTTATTGTAAGTTTGTGAGTATCTGCAGCTGTAGCAGGTGGTTCCATTTTTAATTGAAAGGTCTGTCAAAAACAAAATGACTAGCGCATACTTTTTAAGTCTTGAAAAAACAGAAAAGAAAGGATATTTAGAAAAACTAACAACAGATAATAACATGGAATTACCAAACCCCTTAAATCACATACTGAGACAACTTTTCACTCAGAATGTTAAACGTTTACATGAAGTAACGTATCTAGACGATTAGTAATACAACTAAAGTTGTATCTTAATAATACTTAAATTAACAGACAGGTTTATTTTTTTTTAAGAGTAAAACTTCATGTTGTGGGCAACACGGTGGCTCAGTTGTTAGCACTGGTTTGAGTGGTTTCAGCTGGGTCAGTTGGCATTTTTGAGTTTGTGTGGGTTTCCTCTGGGTTTCCCCCACGCTCCAAATACATGCGGTATAGGTGAACTGAATAAACTTACTTGGCCATAGCATGTGTATATGAGTGTGATGGATGTTTCCCAGTACTGGTTTACAGTTGGAAGGGCATCCTAGAGCCTTGCACAAATCTAAGCCCTAGCTCGGCCCTGGCCCAAGACGCACAGCCTGGAGCCCTGCCCTTGTCCTACAGCTTATCAAAATTTTTGTCCGATTCCAATCTGAAGCCCGTCTTTTTTTCCAGCAAACAGTTATACTGTTACAGCTATTAAAATAGACCAGATTTGTATTCAATAGAAAGTTTTTTTTTTCGTTTTTTTTTTTTTTTATCAGAATAATTTAGAGAAATAATAATAATAATAATAATAATAATAATAATAATAATAATAATAATAATAATAATTCCTTACATTTATATAGCGCTTTTCTGGGCACTCTAAGCGCTTTACACAATGGGGGGGAATCTCCTCATCCACCACCATGTTTGGAGGTTTTTATTTTGTTTGTTTTCGTTTTTTAAGTGACATTGATATCCATCTGAAGACTGATATGCGTGCTATAGCTATGATGTAAAAATGGGCCTGATACCCCGCCCTAGGGGCATAAAAAAGTTGAGCCTGGGCTCGGGCTCAAAGGCAGGGCTCTAGGACGTCCGCTGTAAAAACATATGCTTGGTGAGTTGGCGCTTCAATCCGATGTGGCAAACCCTGATGAATAAAGCCGAAGCAAAATAAATGAATGAAGGAACTTTATGTTGTACTGGTATATATCCCTCAACGGTAGAGCTGTAATCGGGCCATAAATATACTGTTGGCCCGATAGTGCTTGAGCCCGACAGAATTCGGCCCAAGCCCGACAAGTACATTTTGATTGACAGCTTTTTAAAAGCCCAGACCCATTTACAGCCCGGCATTATTCAAATGTGCACAAGCACACAGCTCTTTTGCCTTTTTTTAAGAATGAGTTGCTTATGTGTGTTTTAAAATAATTGATTCATAACAAATGTATGGCCACTTAGAAGTTAGAACAAAGAAATAAAATGATTCCTCTGTAACATTGTAACATCCCAGCACTCTAAATATGTCTAAGTTATGTATATACACTTAGCCTTGAAACATTGGCCAACACACCAATGAAAATAAGTCTCTCTTAACAAATTGAGTAAAAATAAATTCTAAACTATGATGGTATTTGGCAGTTATGAAATTAAGATAAAGGCTCTGCGGGATTTGTTTTGCCACTTCTTTTCACAATCTCGCTTTAAGGTGACGGTAAAACTGAATATTAAAAGAATAATGCTAACATTATATACTCATATAAGCTGTTATACATTATACATTATTATATTATTATATTGCATAGCTTATATACTCTGACTACATTATGCATTTTTGATTTAATTAATATTTAGTTATAATCTGAAAATCCTTTACTCACAAAGATTAGGCTATGTAAACGTGTTTTAGTGGAGGAACATTATTGAATTCACTGTAGATGGCTTTAGCACAGTCCTGCGCTGACTAATGGTGCATCCAGCAGCACCAAACACCTTTTCACTGCTGCTGCTACTGGCTGGGATGCATAGTACCACTGATCTGGTTAATTTATCAAGATTGTTTGTTTATCTTCCACCAGCCAAGAACATCCATTTCATTTTCCATGACAGTGGTTTTAATGTAAAGAGTGATATCATCATATTCCCTGTCAGCTTGCTCTACTTTTTCTCACTCCACAAAATTCGCTCTTTTTGTCATCATTTGTTTTACCTTTGCAGGGATGGGTTTTAATGTTGTAACAAATGATTTGATCTCTTTCTTATGCTAATTGAAATGCATCACATGACTGTTCATTTACCGTGCATGCCGGAGCGAAAGCCCGAGCCTGCCCCACACCATCTAAAATTAAGGAAATTAAGCCTGAACTCACATGAACTCGTCAGGTTTCTTCATGTTCGGGCAAAGAATTTGAGCTCTACTCCACAGACCTAGTATATCCACAGTGCTCTGAAAACTTAGGCGATGTACAGTATAGCAATGTTTGAAGGTAGCAAAGAGTTCTGGGGCAGACTTGGCATAAAGCTGGCACAGCAGGCATTCGTCCGGTACTGGCATGTGGGCGAAACATGGCCCAGGTTTGGGTGAGGTGGCACCGTCTTACAGGCGGCACTCAAGACTTGGGCCATATATCAAATGTAGTATTTGGCCCAGATGTTAAAATATATGTGGGCCATGTCAGTTTGGCCTATTTTGACCCACTTTTAAAATGCATTTAACTTATTTTTGAGTAAAGAAAAAATTCTACCAATCAGGTCACTTCAAGAAAAAGCACAACCATAAAGCAAAATGCTTCATGGGTTTATAAAAAGCATAGCAGCCATGACACACCAACATATCTGGCCCAGTTCAGGCCCAGTTATGGTTTATTAACTTGAATGAGACGTGGCCCAGATATGAGATATGGTCCATGTTTGTCTCTTGTATAGAAGCCAGACTTGGTCCAGTCATGTACCGTAATTCACTGCGGCATGTGGGCCAAGCAAATGCTGATGGTGTGGGCCAGATCTGGGCCAGAGAAATTTTGCTATGGGGGTATAGTCTTCCCGAGGCTCCCATTTAAAACCAGGCAATTACTTCATGCACATTTAAGTGTACACATTTTAAGAACACAGTCAAACCCTAATAATAGGCTCGTCTCTCAAAAGCCAGAGTTCTATGTTTCAGAAGCAGCTTTTGAAGTCTTGCACGCTAAACTAGTCCTTCCCTTACATAATAATTTACATAAGACTCGCAGTAAGCCGGGTGTCTCATTTTTTGGTCTGCACTATAGAGCTAATGATCAGTTACTCAGTTTATTGTTTTTCTCTCCCTCAGGTATCTGTTTGGACTGTCAGGACAACACTCAGGGTCACAACTGTGAGGAGTGTCTGCCCAGTTTTTATCGGCGTGGTGGCGAAGGGTCAGCGGACGTCTGTCTGCCGTGTCCATGCTCCTCTGAGACCTCCAGCGGCATCTGCCATCTTGGTGAGTCTGATGCTCTCTGACACACTGACAGGGTTCAGGGTTCAGATCCTGGCTTCAGTACAGCACGTCCTGAAAGGCTCTGCAAATTATGCAGATAGAAAACAAAAAAAAAACTCAAGGAATGGAAAGTTTGGTTTTGTTGAAAGATGCGAGAACAAACTTAGTTTTTTTTTTTAACAATGTGCATGGATGGATCATTGTCAAGAGGACTGAAATACTTTGGTTAAATCTAGGAACATGTTTTGTTGTTGTTTTGTATGTTGTATATTTTTGTTCAATAGGGCTGTTTTTGATATTTCTGGTACCCTTCATTCCCAGAGACATGCTGGATAATTTGGCGGTTTATTCCGCTGTGGTGACCCCAGGTTAATAAAGGGACTAAGCCGACAAGAAAATGAATGAATGAATGAAACCCTTCAATTTTGTCCAAGCCAGTTTCATAAGTTTGCCATTTTAAATGCTTCTGTTGAACCAAAAAGCAATATCTGATTTTCAGTAGCTTATTTTCAGTAATTTGTTTATTAATAATGACTTTTTTCTGTACAAGTTGTTTCAGTGATAACTGTATTTTTTCTTTAATACAAACAACATATTATTTATTTAAATGTTTTCATTTGATATGGTGCAATAATATTATTGGTAAATATGACACTTTAAAATGGCCATTTTCTATAAGAAATGGTTTAAACCAGGGGTCACCAATCTCGGTCCTGGAGGGCCGGTATCCCTGCAGGGTTTAGCTTCAACTTGCTTCAACAAACCTGCCTGGGTGTTTCAATTATACCTAGTTAAGGCTGATTTATACTTCTGCGTCAAACACCGGCGTATGCTACGGCGCTGACGCATAGCCCTTCGCCGTGGCCGTCGCCGTCACTGACGTGCACCTCTCAAAAAATGTAACTACATGTCGCAACAAAGCGTAGCGCAAGCTCTGTGATTGGTCGGCTTGGTAGCGCTGACGAGTCTGGGCGGGACCGAGAGCCGCGCGAATGGCGCGAACCCAATGTAGCGATTGTTTACAAGTGTGGAGTCCCGTGAAGGAGCTTCGGATGGAAAGTTTTGTTTTGTGTTTACCTCATAGTTAAAGCTGTTGCACGTCCGCCGGTTCCTGCCTCAAAATGAGCGAATTTGAGTCACTTGTACAACCAGGAAGTGTTCAGGAAACGCAAAACAGAAGCGAAGAAACTCGACACAGAGGAACATTTACACCTCACTGCCAACTAGCATTTCAGAAGTGTTAATGCAGACCAACAGAGACAGCCAAAGAAGTATAAATGCACAGCTGCGCGCGTTGCCTGCGCCGTGAGTTACGCCGGTCACTTGAAGCAGAAGTATAAACCAGGCTTAAGACCTTGATTAGCTTGTTTGGGTGTGTTTAATTAGGGTTGGAGCTCAAATCTGCAGGACACCGGCCCTCCAGAAACAAGTTTGGTGACCACTGGTTTAAACTATAAAATGTTAAATTTCAGCATCATTATTTTAGTCTTCAGTGTCAAACGAGTCTTCAGAAATCCTTATAATTAGCTGATTTGCTGCACAACTATTACCAATTATTATTGGTGTTCAATCATTAAAAATGGTTATTAATATTTTCAGTTGTGACGAGCTGAAAGCGGTCACTTAATGTCCACATGGGGGCGGTGTATTTTAAAAACGTCTCTCAATCGTAGGAAAAGGGTAAAAGAAGGAAGTGTTTGTTCACCAGGTTCAGAGCATGCGGAGCTTCGTCCAGGAGCTCAGGCAATGATGGCTCGGTCTGAAATGAAGTCGTCGGGCTGAGAGACAATGTGTTTGTTTGCGAGAGCACGCTTTTGCTCATCCCGTCATAAACCATACATGGAGTGAAATAGTTAAGTTGCCGTAGTGCCATAGACGTACACTGCATCATCGTCTTTTTTAGTCACAAATTAAAGTTAGATCAGCTCACCAGTCCGAAGATTACAGAGGTTAACCAAACAAACACATTGTCTCTCAGCCAGACGACTTCATTTCAGCCCGAGCCATCTTTGCCTGAGCTCCTGGACGAAGCTCCGCATGCTCTGAACCCGGTGAACAAACACTTCCTTTTTTATCCTTTTCTTACGATTGAGAGACGTTTTATAAATACACCGCCCCCATGTGGACATTAAGTGACCGCTTTCAGCTCGTTACACAGTGCAGTTTATTTTGTGTAATGATATGAGTTATATAGTACCGCACCATACTGTACCACTCCATTTGGGGCAGTATTAACATTAGCAGTCACTGTTTTTTTTTTTGTTTGTTTTTTGGCTAATGGTTGCAGGCTTTTACATTTACATTTCTAAAGCAACTTAAACACACACACACACACACACACACACACACACACACACACACACACACACACACACACATCATAAATGCACACTCAGAGAAGTTCAGGGGAGGTGTCATTGACCTACAGCCAATGAGAGCCAAGATACAAAGCAATTAGAAGTTCAAGAGTGAAGTTAACCCCCTGGCAGTGTAAGGGTTTTTTTACGATAGATTTATGCACTTGTGTAAGCTTAAAAAAAGGACCACTATCCAATACATTATATAGCATGGATAAAAGAGCCAGGATAAAATGCCAAACTAGTCCAAAAATGTGTTCGTCTGACAGAAGAAAGTCATATACACCGAATGATTTGAGGGTGATTAAATTATGAGGTAATTCATTTTTATTGTTGGGTAAACTATTTCTTTAAAGCCAAAATGAAATTCAGGGGGAGGAGTCACAGACTTACAACCAATGAGAGAGCAAGATACAAGGTGAAGGAATATAGGTTCATTATGTAAGTGACTTGATTGTTGTTGCAAGTAACCCGTGACTTATGCCTGCATTAGGATAAATGGGTGAGGGTCAGTGAGAAGGTGCAGATTGTTCATTTCTCAATGAATTTATGAGCAATCTAGGTTTAAATCTTGGTCATAGCAAAAACATTTGATGCTACCAAAGAGCCAATCATGGACTTTGTTTTCATCGCAGCTTCCTTTCCATTGGATGCGATTGCACAGCAACAGTGAACGTGATGTGGATTTGGTTGTCACTTTACATTTATGGTCAGTAGAGCCTCAGGAGGAAAGTCAATGAGCGAGATAGATAGAGAGAGAGAGACAGAGAGGGGGCACTGAAAGTTCAGAACTCTTATATAAGTGTACTCCATGTTGTTGATATGTTTATAGGTCAAATATGTAAGGCATAATGTAAAGTCAGTGGGTCATTATATTTACACTGATAATGATCCTCACATTGTACAGTAGGCTGCTTAATACATAGCAAACAAATACTGTAGATATGTAGATGTGAAGTGTTACTTTAGTTTGTTATCTTATACGGGAAAGCGAGTGGTAAATGAGGGAGGTGAAGCAGAAAAGCAGTGATTACTGTTATCGTGTGTGTGTGTGTGTGTGTGTGTGTTTTCAGGCCTGCAGCTGCACCTCTCATCTGTTATGGATAAAGGCATTATTACTTTTAATTCAGAAATTGTTGATGGAGAAGGGTCTGGCTGCAGAGTTGCACTTGCATCTTAAAGGGTCACGAAACACCAAAACACATTTTTTGAGCTGTTGACAGTCGTAAATGTGTCCCACACTGATAAAAACACTATTAGGACACCTATATTTCACTAAAAAGTGTAAATTGGTTGTTTTTGCGTTATTTCAAGCAAATTCGTACTTCCGGTTTGAAACTAATTTTTGAAGCTGCGTCACGGCCATGACATAATAGCCTGTATTCCAGCGTGCAGACTGGACGTCTGTGCCAGAGTGTGTCTTATTACGTCCTACAGTGTGATGCATTAATGCATGAGTAAGGCTTGGTTCAAACCAATTAGCGCGCTCTATTGTGCAACTTCATTAATATTCATTACTGTCACAGTGTTTAGATGACAGACACACCACGTTGTATTGGCAAAACAAGCGTGAAGTGTTGCTTTTATAGTTTGCTGCAGTTAAGTTTCGTTTTCCTTTTCTCTCTGTGAGAGCTCAGCTGGAGTCATGTGTGGATTAACAGTGTACGCGACGCTCGACAACAATAACTTACGTGTCTAAGGAGGAACATTGTTTACCTGAGAGCTGTTCTCATCTGCAAACGCTGAGATCTGGATTCGCTTGTAGTCTCCTCTTAATAAAGACGCGGCTCTAGTTGCTGGTGATTGTTCTGTCTCTACAGATTTGGTAAGTGAGCGACCAGTGCTCTTTGTTTATTCAGTTTGTTCGTATCGAACTAAGTTAACTATTGCACCGTGTAAACATGTTAGCACCACAACCAAACTTTAACCTCGTGTAGGGTTTTCACCGCATTTAGTGACCGGAATAACACACGCGGCTTTCTGACAATACCTGCCGAGTGCATCTAAGTTTCCGGGAAATGCTGAGGGCTTTTTTTCTCTCATTCGCCATGCGGTATCAAACATTGCATGAAAAATACACGCTTAGAGCAGTTCCTCAAATCAAATATCTCGTTTTTCGCGAGGGGCATGAATGAATTCCCTGAATGAAAGAGCCAAACTGTAGTTAAAGTCCACCATTTAAGAATTTGGCAAATAATTCGACTACAGATGTCCATGAAGGCTAAACACCATCACTTTCTCCTCTGTGTGTGTGTGTGTGTGTGTGTGTGTGTGTGTGTGTGTGTGTGTGTGTGTGTGTGTGTGTGTGTGTGTATTTTGACTCTGAAACTCGTGCATGCCCAAATAGACACTCCCACACCATCCCAATTTAGTTCCTCCGACACTCCCCCCTAAACAGAGCTGGACAAGCCCACTTTTCTGACTTTTTCCAAAGTAGAGGTGTGAAAACACCTTGCTGAAAAGAGGGGGTTTCATGGCCCTTTAAGGCTTGCACTCTCGGGCTTGCACGCTCAGGCACCCACGTTTCCTATGCAAGTGATGTCATTTACAATCGACACCTGCACCTGTTACGTCACTTGAAATCAACACAAATAAACCAAAAGCAATTTTCCAGTTTGTTTGCGTTGACAGTGACGACGTTGTCAA